GGAATGGCAACTAGCAGTCCTTCAACTCCCATGGGCCTTTACCACTGACAATGCTGGCTAGGGCTGATGGGAGTTGTAGGCCAGGAAAGATCTGATCTGATATTCACCTTGTCCTGGACAGGGTTGCACTCCCGCTAAATGACAGAGTGCAGAGCCCAGATCCAGAATTGTCCCTGGAGTCCCAGGTGGCATCTGTGGCCAGGAGCGCATTCCATCAACTTCGGCAGCTTTACCAACTGTGTCCCTGTCCGGACAGGCAGAACCTGGCAATGGTAAACCATGCTCTGGTAACCTCACATTTAGACTACTGTAATGTGCTCTACATGGGGCTGCCCTCGAAAATGTCTGGAAACTTCAACTGGTACAAAACAGGGCAACCCAACTGTTGACAAGGACAAGCAAACACAAACATACCATCCCTGTAGCTTATCAACTGAATTGGTTATCAATTGAAGTCCAGGCCTGCTTTAAAGTGCACACCTTGACATATAAAGCCCTAAACAACTTAGGGCCTGGTTATCTAAAGGACTGGCTCCTTCTGTATACACCTACGTGTACCTAGACCCTGAGGTCATCTGTGGAGGTTCTTCTCTGGGAGCCACTTCTACAAGAAGGAAAAAGGTGGCCACAAGGGGAAGGGCCTTCTCAGCTGTGGCACCCCAATTGTGGAGTCAGCTCACCAGGGATATATGACTGGCACCAACTCTATATACATTCCAGCACCTGGTTAAACCATTTTATTATTCTCTAAAAGATATAAGATTAACTGGTTTTATATTGGCTTCTATTAAACTGGAGTGATACATGTGTTTTGATATTATTTATTGTCATTTCGTGTTGGTTCTCATTTTGCTCCTATTGTTATTGTTTATGTTGGTTGAATTTTATTGGTTGTATTGATGTTTTATGATGGGTATACTGATTGCTGGTATTGCTCTTTGAAATTGAGTGTAGTTATTATATACTGTTTTGTTAGGTTTTATTTTATAATCATTCTGAGAGTTCTGTGCTAATGAACAGGATATAAAAGCCTAAGTAAATACATACATGCCACACGAGCTGCCCAGTTCTGCCCGATTGGCCAGAGTAGGACACAAGGCCAGGCCCACCCCATACAAGTAGGGTAACAAGCTGCAGAAAGGGAAAACCTTCCAGAGGCAGATGCAGAGTGCCAGTTCCAGCTTCTGAAGGATTCTTGGACAAGACTCTTTTAGTGCTGCTGTTGCCATGGCTCATGTGCTACCTTTTCTACACATGTAAGCAAAGGCTGTAGCTTCTTCCTCTTGCTCTGCTCAGGTCTTCTTCCTCACTTTGAGAGGACAAAAGAAAAGCATGCCACAATAATAAGGAAAGTGACTGACAAGACCAAGGGACTCACATGCTATAACCCCATGGCTTCATGGCCACAGGAGCTTTAGAGTGTTGTCCAAACCCAATGCATGTCCTATGGAGTGGCTTCTTTGGGCTTGTGAACTTACAACAAAATTCTACAGTTTGCAGGAGAGTTTTGCAGCCACACAGAAGCTTGTTGAATCAACTGAGCTCAGACAACATAACAAACACAATGACAGCTGCAACTGCTACAGAGATGCTTGGCAAGAGCAACATACAAAGCTCACTGTAAAGTGGCTCTGGATGTGTGCTGATGACAGCTAACACAAAGTGCCCAAGCGGCAGATTATGGCAGCTGTCACAGGATTCCCTGCCCTCCACTGTATGCGGCTTCCATGAGCCCAGTTCAGGGCTTGAATAAGTGCATGCAATGGAAAGGCAGCACACATCGGCTGCAGCAAGGACCCCTTGCAAGCAGGAGCAGGGGCACCGCGGTGACTGCTAGCTGTGTCAGCGCCAACAGCCATATCCCTGCCTGCCATTTTGGACTGGAAGGGAAAAGGAAGTTGACTGAAGCAACATTCCCATGCCATGCCCACCTGCCTTTTTGGTGGGAGATGACCCATGTTCTGGTGAGTCTCCTTGGGAGGGGGCCTAGCAGGCCACACTGCCCTCGCTCAGCATAGTGCCTGCTCGACAGCTGCCATGCCGAGCAAGGCCAGGGGACAAGCTGTGTCCTGGTGGGTGTTCTTGGAAGGAAGCCAGGGAGAAGATGCTACCCTCACCCAGCACCTGCTGAGCAAGGAACCGTCTACTGAGGCTCCCTGGGAGGAGGCTCAGTGGAACATGGTGCAAATCCTGGCAGAGAGGGGTGTCCCTACCATTCCCACCTGTTGTTTTAGGCTGGTGGTGGCAGCAGCAGCAGCAGCAGGAGGAGGGAAGATGTTCCTGCTGCTGCCACAACTAGCCCTTCTGGTACTACTGTAGTAGGCTAAACAGTGGATATTCCCATTTCCCTTTTCCCCTGCAGTGGTGGGGAACCTTTCTCTGCAGTGGAGTGAGGGGGAGGAAACTTGGTGCTCCTGCTGTGTTCCATGGATACCTGCAGGTAGTCCAAGAGCAGGTGGGATGGTGGTTCAGAACTACAATGTCCCCAGCCATTTGTCAGGCACATCATGAGACTGGGCAAACAAACTGCACTGTTGCATTTCTGTGCAGTTCAGCTTGTGTCATGCAAACCTACCCAATGCCTGGATTCTCACAACCCAGTAAGCCATGGTGGCTTGTGGTGTCCTCTGAGTACTGGTTAGCCACTCTGGTTGGGTTCAGACAATGCAACAAGCCAGCCTTGCCTTAGAAGCCACTATGGCTGATTGGGTTGTGTGAACCCAATGTGTGGGTATCCATGACATCACAAGCAATGGTGATTTTTTTGCAAGTTGGTCTGCTGTTTCATCCAAACCCCCTAATGCTATCACAATGTGGGGTGGTTGTTTTTTTTTTTTTTTAAGCATGAACAAGAACAATGGTCTGTTCTATGGTTTCTCAGGACCGTGATGGCTTGTGTCTTCCAAACCAGAAACATGACTCATCACAGTACCAAGCCTAACACTATCAAACCTCTTGGTAAGGGGGGGAGTGCCATTCTGGGGACATGTCTCTGACAAGTGGAAATGAGAAAGGGAGGTGAGCAGGGAATCAGCAGAACAGCACCATTGTCAACGGGACACGTCACGCAGTTGATTCGTGCCCCCCGCTTGCTCACGCATCTGGGGTGAGGGGCAGAGGGAAATCTGAGCAGCATGGCCCCCAACCAGTCCAGCAGAATTTCACTCCTCCTGCTCGCCATGCGAGGGGCTTCCTTCAGGTGCACATGGGGGCAGGGATGCAGCTCCTTCCTGCAGTGCTGCCCAGTTGATTTCCTGCCACTCTTGCCTGAGCCTCCGTTGGGCACCCTCCATTCCTGCTCCAGTGGCCCCCTCTGGAGTAGGAGGGGAGGGTGCCTTGTCAGCTTCCTTGACTTCTCTGCTGCACTTCAGGGCAGGGGCCCTGTTTAGGCAATGGAGACTGCCTGGCAGCCACAGGGAACTCAACTCCATTCACAGTTTTGGTTGTCAAAGCAAGGGGGCTCTTTCTTCCCTGCGGTCCCTCTGGGGGTACCACCTAGGGAACTGAGAGGAAAGACAGGGGCAGCAGCTGGGAGAGTTACTGTGCTAAGCCGCCTCATTGTCTATCAGGTACATCCCTGCAGAAAATCCTGAAACAGAAACCATGCAGGGTTGGTTGCGCAGGTTCACATGTCACTGCAATGTGTAGCAAGAGCTGTGGCAACAGCGGTGACGAGAACCTGCCAAGAGAGGGAACCCTTTGAGGGTAATTTGGCCAAGGGCCCTCGATATTAGGAGCTGGCACTGCATTTAATCTGACAGTAAACCCCTATTGAACACAGCAGGGAGGACAGATTTGTAAACATACATAAGAGTGCATGCCCAGGCTGTCACAGCATCCCAAATAAATGCATGAACTATCGATGGCAAAGGCCAGCTGACAGTGCAATTCCATACAAGTTTGCTCAGCCCTAAATGTCATTGCAGTCAGTGAGGGTTACCTCCACTCAGCCAGGTGGGTATAAGATTGCAGCCTAGAAGGGACACTTTTGGGAACTCTAGGCTAGTCATCAGTGTTAAAGTGTCTAAAAACGATTAATCATCATGACTGGGTTTGTGTGGCTTCTGAATACAGTCATTCCAAGAACCATGGCTTTCTGCTTTAGAGTTTACTTAACCCTCCTTGGCTTTGTGTATCATCCAAACTCAAACGATATGCTCAAAAAGCCAGTTTGCCAGAGAGCAGGAGTGCATACCTCTCTGGTCAAGCAGCTGCTGCGACCCGCCCCACTCTTCCAGGAAGATCAGCAAGAGCTCCGGGCAGAGGAAGCTGGAGTGTTTGGCGCTGTGCTGTGCAGGTCTTCCTCTCGAGGAAGCCAAGTGTGGCACAGCCCATCCCCTCGTCCTTGCCTTTAGCAAACCTGATGTCCTAGCATCGGCAGGGGCGTGTGGTGGAAAACCCAACGACAGTCAGTGAAAGTGCCATTTGGGCACTTTGGGGCAGGTGTCATCCCTGCTCTGCTCCTCTCGGTGTTCCCATATGGTGTCCTTTGGGGTACCACGCAGGGAGGAAGTTCCTTACGACTCCCAACTGTACCTGAATGTATGTTAGGGACCCAGGCTACCTTAAGCCTAAAATAGCCCCCCAAACTTAAAAATATTGCGTGAATCAACCCAGGGAGTTGTTCTTGCTCTCCTCTCCCCTGAAGTCATTCCTCTCCTCACACCCTCGCAAACCACTACGCGGGCGGGCGTGTGTCGGTACACACGGCTGCCGATTCCGGAGTGCGCTTCACTTCGGGGGTCCGATGACGCTCCAGGCCGACCAAGCTCATGCCATCCGAAGCTAGTGGGTGCCTACAGTGCCAGGACACTTTTCAAGCCACTGGAGGGCGGAAAGCCGGAGGCGCTCCTTGTACGGGCGCTCTCTTGGGCCGCCGCCCCGCCCGCCTGTTGACTCAGTGCAGCACTCCCGTAATTCCCAGCCGTTCGCGGCCACCGCTTCGCTTTGTCACAAGACCAGCAGCTGGGCTCCCTCCGCTGCTTGCGCAGGGCTGAGGGCGGAGACCTCGCCCGAGTGGCGTCAGAGGAGTGGCGGGTAGCAAGGGCGGAGGGGGTATAAATCTGCGGGGAGCGGCGTTTCCTCTACTGCCCCGTTGGAGTGCGTTGTTCGGGTTGTTTCCGTTCTCGGAGAAAGAAGCTGAAAGGTCAGTGACGCCAGCGGGGACGGGGTTTGGGGGCTGGGTGGTCCTTGGGCGAGCTCGGGTCTTGCTTAGGGGGCAGGAAGTGTCTCAGCGTTGGAAGATTTAGGGGCCTGCTAGACTCCTGTGCGGAGACTTCTGTACGTCCCGTCCGCCCCGCCGCCACGCTTCAGGCTATACGCCCTGGCTTTACTTGCCGAGGAGCGGGTGGAAGGGACGAGTTCGCCAGTGTTTAAGGGACCGTGGAGTGAGCGAGCTAAGAAGCCAGCGTCCTTTTAGCAGGAAAGGTGGGGCTGGGTTAAGGTTACATGCCACGCTGTTAAAACAAGTATTCCTCCCCCTTCTCGCCAGTCCCTTTTCTCCCCTCCCTCCCACGCAGATTTCCCGGCCTGTTGGCGAGCGTGGTGTGCTATCCCAGGTTGCCAGGGCTAGTTGTGTGCGTCTCTTGGGCCGGGGAGGGGGAGAAAGGGGGAGTCGAAAAGCCCCTAGACTGGAGCAGTTGGGACTCCTTGGCTGAGCACTGCTGTGGGTCGTGTTTGGCTTGTGCCCTAAAGATAGTCCTGCGCCTCCTGACAATCTGTTTCCGATTTTTATACTTCTCGGAAGAGTTTTAATTTCCTCGCGGAAATTTTGTTCCCGCTTACTGGAATCTCCCCCCGCCGCCCCCACATCCCTCGCTTCTAGAGTGCCTCCTCCAGGTTTCCTGCTTCTTTTTGCTATCCTCCATTGTAGTATTAACGCCTCGCTCCACTTTCCCTTGCCTCCCGGGACTGATAGCTTGATCTAACACTTCTCTCTTTCCCCATTTCTCCCCCCCACCCTTACAGGAACGAATATCCAAAATGGGTGTCGAAGGCGGTATGAAATGTATTAAATTCCTTGTTTTCTTCTTCAACTTCTTATTTTGGGTAAGTTAATTGGGGGCCTTGGCACCTGGAAAAGTGAAAAATACAGTTGCTTGTCAGCTGTATCCCCCCACCACACCTTTCTGGGACTTGTTTCTACAAAATGCATTAAACAGCTCCTAAGATTGTGTGTAAGCTTGGTAATTGGCCTTTTGGCAGCTGGTTTACACTCAAGTTGTCACTTGGTTTTCTTGATGAGTTGTCACTATGCATTGCATGTAAACTTCATGTATCTATAGGTATTACATCATTCTTTTCCCAAGTTGCTCCAGATTTATAGTGTCTCATGCTGCTTTAGGCTGGTTTCCTTGCCTGCATTACATCTCTATAGGACTTTTCTCTAGATAGTGATAGCACCTCTCAATTGTCATGTTGTAAACCTCATTGTAGCTTCCCTCTGGAGAAATCTAGGGAAGAGCCAGAATTCTGTAAAGTCTGAAGAAATTACCGAAATAGAAATATAGTTTTATAGTTCCATGACAGCTAGATCATTCACAGATGGGTGAAACAAATGAAACTACATTCTTCTTCTCCAGGATTATTTGGGATTCTGTAGCTTGGTGGGAGGGACCTGCTTTGCATACAGAAGATCCCAAATTCAGTCCCCCGCAACTCCAGTTAGCGCAAGAAGAACTTCTGCCTGCAACTGTGGAGAGCCATTGCTGCCTGTCAGTAGTGGCACTTCTGGACTAGGTGGGCCTGTAGTTCGACTCAGCATAGATCAGCTTCCTTTCTGCTGTGATAGAGGGAACTACTGTTTCTGTTCCTGGAGAAGTCATTGTATCTGAAGTACAAGCACTGAATCTGAAAATTCAAGGTTTACTTAATGTCACACCTAGGTTGCTCACTAAGAAAGCTGTAAGTCAATGACCTGGTTTGTGCAGTTTGGCAGCCTGTGCATTAAAGAACAGGTGTGTTGTCTGCACTGTGCTTTTACTTCTGCTTTTACTCAACAATCCACAATGGGCTCCTTCATGGTGTTGTCTGAATGTGGAGTGCTTGACTGTTTAGAGACCAAGAAAGGAGAGAGGGAGAGATTTTTCTTCCTCTTCCATAACGCCCAAACCCAGGGTCATCTCATGAAGCTGACTGGTGGAAGGTTTAGGACAGGCAAGAAGTAGTATTTCTTCATACAGCATATAGTTAAACTATGGAATTTGCCTTCATAGGAAGTGGTAAAAAGGGACTGGACAGATTCATGAGGGAAGAAGCCCTCAGTGGCTACTAGGCTAGTGAGCTATGTGCTCTCTCCTTTACCAGAGATGCCATGGCTGCATACACCGGTTGCTGAGGAGCTTGGGCAGGAGGAGGTCTGGCACCCATCCTGCTTGAGGGATCATGGTTTGCCACTGGGTGTACGGAGCGGATGGACCTCTGGTCTGATCTGACATTGCTTTTCTTATGTTCTTAGTCCAGCAGTAACCTATGGTTTATTGGGTTGAACTGGCAGCCACTAACCCTTTTTCAAGCCAGTGAGAGCCCATTCTATATAAAAGAACACAGAATTTGAGGAAATTGAGAGGTTAGTTCACAAACAGTTCCAAAGTTTGAGCAATGTGGTTTCCAAACAGAACCTCCCAGAAAGTTAAAATTTTTTGCATCACTGTTTCCTCCTCCTGACTTAGCAGTTCCGGCCTACTCACTCTCATATTTGGGGCAGTGGTATATTGGTGTATACCATAGCAGCTGTCAGGGCATTCTTTGTGAGACAGGTAGGACAGGTGGTTCACTGTATCTGCACATGTGGCACCAGTTCCTAGCATTTGAGCTGAACAGATGGAGTTCCTATTGCAACATATGTAGAAGTCTTGGGCCCACCTCTTTTTGTGAAGTTAATGTACTTCTAATAACTGTGGCTGAGTCACACAAGACTGTTTGCATGTCTATCACTCAACATAGAAACAAGCTTGACTTTTTCCCCCTATTTTGGCAATCTTGTATTGCACAGAGATCGTATGCATAGAAACAATAATGTGGAAGATCTTGCTAATTGAATTTGAGGAATTGGAGGCTTGATTTTGCAATAGTAAGGGAACGCTGAACACTTCAGAGTTCAGAGCCAGGATGGAGGCTTGACTGACATCAAGAAATGTAAGGTATAATTTTAGAATTATGCACTTAGATTTAATACATCAGCAGAGAGATTTCCTTTGCACTTGCTAGGTTTAAAATTAAACCAACTAGTTGTTGTTGTTGTTAGTCGTGAAGTCATGTCCCATGGACAACATTCTTCCAGGCCTTCCTGTCCTCCACCATCCCCCGGAGTCCACCCAAGCTCACACCAACTGCTTCAGTGACTCCATCTAACCACCTCATTCTCTGCTGTCCCCTTCTTCTTTTGCCATCTATTGTTCCCAGCATTAGACTCTTCTCTAGGAAGTCCTTCCTTCTCATTAGGTGGCCAAAGCATTTGAGTTTCATCTTCAGGATCTGGACTTCTAAAAAGCAGTCAAGGTTGATCTCCTCTAGGACTGACCGGTTTGATCGCCTTGCGGTTCAAGGGACTCACAGGGGTCTCCACCAGCACCACAATTCAAAGGCCTCAGTTCTTTGGCGCTCAGCCTTCCTTATGGTCCAACTTTCACAGCCATACATTGCAACTGGGAAAACCATAGCCTTGACTATATGCACTTTTGTTGGCAGGGTGATGTCTCTGCTTTTTAGTATGCTATCTAGATTTGCCATAGCTTTCCTCCCCAGGAGCAAGCATCTTTTAATTTCTTGGCTGCAGTCCCCATCTGCGGTGATCTTGGAGCCCAGGAAAATAAAATCTGTCACTACCTCCATTTCTTCCCCATCTATTTGCCAGGAAGTGAGAGGACAGGATGCCATCTTAGTTTTCTTAATGTTGAGTTTCAAGCCAACTTTTGCGCTCTCCTCCTTTACCCGCATCAAGAGGCTCTTTAGTTCCTCTTCCCTTTCTGCCATGAGAGTGGTATCATCTGCATATCTGAGGTTGTTGATATTTCTCCCAGGAATCTTAATTCCAACTGGTGATTCATCTAGCCCCGCCTTTCTCATGATGTGCTCTGCATATAAGTTAAATAGGCAGGTCGACAGTATACAGCCTTGCCGAACTCCTTTCTCAACTTTGAACCAATCAGTGATTTAGTGCCCGGTTCTGACTGTTGCTTCTTGACCCATATATAGGTTTCTCAAGAGACAAATAAGATGGTCAGGTACTCCCATCTCTTTAAGAACTTGCCACAATTCGTTGTGATCCACACAATCAAAGGCTTTAGCATAGTCAATGAAGCAGAAGTAGATGTTTTTCTGGAACTCCCTAGCTTTCTCCATGATCCAGTGTATGTTGGCAATTTGATCTCTAGTTCTTCTCCCTCTTTGAAATCCTGCCTGTACTTCTGGTAGTTCTCGGTCCACATACTGCTGGAGCCTAGCTTGTAGGATTTTGAGCATAACTTTGCTAGTATGTGAAATGAGTGCAATGGTGCGGTAGTTTGAACATTCTTTGGCATTGCCCTTCTTTGGGATGGGAATGTAAACTGACCTTTTCCAATCCTATGGCCACTGTTGAGTTTTCCAAATTTGCTGGCATATTGAGTGTAGCAGTTTTACTGTATCGTCTTTTATGATTTTGAATAGCTCAGCTGTGGAATACTGTCACCTCCACTAGCTTTGTTGTTGCTCAGACTTCCTAAGGCCCATTTGACTTCACATTCCAGGATGTCTGGCTCAAGGTCAGTGACCACCCCATCGTGGTTTTCAGGGATGTTAAGCTCTTTCTTGTATAGTTCTTCTGTGTAATCTTGTCATCTCTTCTTAATCTCTTCTGCCTCTGTTAGGTCCCTGCCATTTTGGTCCTTTATCATGCCCATCTTTGCATGAAACATTCCCTTCATATCTCCAATTTTCTTGAAGAGATCTCTGGTCCTCCCTAGTCTATTGTTTTCTTCTATTTCTTTGCACTGTTCATTTAAGAAGGCATTCTTATCTCTTCTAGATATTCTCTGGAATTCTGCATTCAATTGGGTGTATCTTTCCTTTTCTCCCTTGCCTTTCGCTTCCCTTCTTTCCTCAGCTATTTGTAAAGCTTCCTCAGACAGCCATTTTGCTTTCTTGCATTTCTTTTTCTTTGGGATGGCTTTAGTTGCTACCTCTTGTACAATGTTGCAAACCTCTGTCCATAGTTCTTCAGGCACTCTGTCTATCAGATCTAATACCTTAAATCTATTCGTCACATCTTCTGTATATTCATCAGGGATATGATTTAGGTCATACCTGAATGGCCTAGTGCTTTTCCTTACTTTCTTCAATTTAAGTCTAAATTTTGCAACAAGAAGCTCATGATCTGAGCCACAGTTAGCTCCTGGTCTAGTTTTTACTGACTGTATAGAGCTTCTCCATCCTTGGCTGCAGAGCACATAGTCAGTCTGATTTCTGTGTTGACCGTCTGGTGATGTCCATGTGTAGAGTCGTCTCTTGGGCTGTTGGAAAAGAGTGTTTGCTATGACCATCGTATTCTCTTGACAAAATTCTACCAGCCTGTGCCCTGCTTCATTTTGTACTCCAAGGCCAAACTTGCCTGTTATTCCAGTTATCTTTTGCCTTCCTACTTTAGCATTCCAATCCCCCATGAAGATAAGGACATCATTTTTTGGTGTTAATTCTAGAAGGTGTTGTAGGCCTTCATAGAACCAGTCAACCTCAGCCTCTTCAGCACCAGTGGTTGGGGCATAGACTTGGACTACTGTGATGTTGAATGGTTTGCCTGAGACCAACTAGTAACCATCCCCAAAAGTGAATAGTAAAAACCAGAGGAAAAAAAGGTTGCCTTTACTAGCTTGCACCATTCAGCCAAAAAGTTAAAAGAACTGGAATTCTCAAATGTACCATCCTGCATGCAGAAATATACATCTTAGAGATAAAGTTTCAAGCTTGGAATTAGAATAGTATTAGCAAAATGTTTCACCCGTCTTTAAAGCCCCACTTTCACTAGGAATGCTGAATGACCTGTAAACGCATCTATTTGCAGATGGGATCTT